CTTCCTCGTTGTCTTCGTTGGCGACGTCGTCGTCGTCTTCGTCGTCGTCGTCGGCGTCGGCGTCGTTGTCGTCTTCGTCGTCGTCGACGTCGGCGTCGTCGTCGTCGCCGCCGTCGTCGTCGTCGTCGTCGTCGTCGTCGGCGTCGTTGACGTCGTGGTCGTCGTCGGTGTCGTCGTCATCGTCGTCGTCGGCGTCGTCATCGTCGTCGTCGTTGTCATCGTCGTCGTCGGCGTCGGTGTCGTCGTCGTCGTCGTCGTCGGTGTCGTCGTCGTCGTCGTTGTCGGCGTCGTCGAAGTCGTTGGAGACGCCGTCGGTGTCATCGCAGTCGTTGTCGGCGGCGTCGTCATCGTCGTTGTCGCTGTCGTCGTCGGCATCGCTGTTGTTGCCAAGTGCCATGTGGTACCCAAGTTGCGGGTGGGTGGGTGGGATGTTGGCGCGAGCAGTGGAGTGGACAACTCACTGCGAACAGAAATTAATTGCACCACGTAGGTAGCTTCACGCAGATTGCGCCACATAGAACCACTATATAGGTTCACCCACGCATATTGCAAATTGAAGTTTTCCGTAGCGGCCGTGGCCAGACCAACCGTGCCTCACTGCGCCCAAACGCGCTGCCCCAGCGCGATCGCATGGCGTCAAACTAGCTGGCCAGTGCAGAATGTACCTTCTCCTCCTTCTCCTCCTCCTGCTCCCCCTCCATCCCCGTCAGCATAATGCTGCTCTCTATTGGAAAGCTTCTCTCATTGCCAAACGCATCGGCTTGGTCATGTTGTCCTGTTAGATGGCAGCGTAGACTTTTTGCTGCCAGCCTGGAGGCGAATTCCATATATCTTAACTCGCGCGGTCCACATGCAGGCCTTTTTTCGCACCGTCATCCTGGGTCCGGTATGCGACGAGCTCGCGCCGCGGGTTGGCCTCCTTCGTGAGTCCGTTCATGCAGGGGCGGAACAAGAAGGAGTTCGTTTCGGGGGTGGCGATCCCGTCCTTCGTGGCTTGCGCCAGAGGGGTAGCCTTGACACCTGACGTCTCGGGGCGTTTCTTGCCTTTGCCCTTGCCCTTGCCCTGCGCCTTGCCCTCGGGCTCGGCGCAAATGACGTTCTCCTCGCGGCGTTTCGGCCTGGGGCCCAGGACGTAGCCATTCTCATCGTCGCTCATCTCCTCATCCTCGCGTGAGTCATCATCTACTGTTCCTAATGCCTGGCGGACGGGCGTCTCGGGGCAGTCGAAGACGGGGGGCCCCTTTTCGTCGTAGACGGCGGTGCTCGGCAGCGAAGGCGCGTGATCAATTAACTTGGACATGGCACTCCGATTGCCATGATGGACGCGGATTGCTTGAAGAATTACGCGTGCCCGTCCTCGCCCACGTCAGAGGCACTGGGTAACTGGAACTTTGGTGCGTGAATCACGTGATGGCCGCCAGTCGATGCAATGCGAACATCGCCTATCTCAATTGGTACAAGCGGGGCCACGGCTGGGGAATCGTCGCTCTCTTGCTGGGTAGCCCCTTGATGATGATGATGATGATGATGATGATGATGATGGTGATGGTGATGATGATGATGATGATGATGATGATGATGATGATGATGATGATGATGATGATGATGATGATGTCTGCTGAATTGCAGTTTCTCCTGGAAGCGCCTGCTTTGTTCCTCTTGACTGGTGTCGCCTGCTTCTCTTCCCTCTTCATCTCCCTCAACTTGGCCAGCCAGTGGCGCAATTGCCCGTTTGCTTTGTGTATGTAGACTGAAGCATGTACTCTTTCGGGATATGTGGGCACGTCGGCCTGAGACAGACGTCGAACCTCACGACGGGGTAGATGACGCCATTATTGGGCCCTTTCTTGATCAGAGACTCGACAAGTGGGCACAAGCGGACGACCATGTTCGGAGTAACTGCATGCAGCGCCGACGAGAAACTAGAGTCAAACACGTGGTGAAGAGAAGTACTTGTTCACAAACTCCTCGAGGCATTTTGTGTAAGCACGATCGGAAACCACAGGAGCATCATCGGCATCATCAGCATCATCATCTTCATCAGCATCATCATCATCATCATCATCATCATCATAATCATCATCGTCATGATCATCATGATCGTGATCATCAGCATCAACATCAGCATCAGCATCATCAACATCAGCATCAGCATCATCATCATCATCATCATCATCACCATCATGAACATCATCAGCATCGTCGTCATCACTATCGCCATCACCATCATTATACTCAGGATACTGATCATCAACACTATCATCAGTATCATTCGAAGCCACGTCTCGTCATCAGCATCATCAGAAGCATGATCATCATCATCGTCGTCATACTAATCGTCAGCATTCGTACCATCATCATCATCATCGTCGCATTGTCCATGCTCTTCATATTCATCTGCATATCCAACTGCATCTTCATTTTGATCATCACCATCACCATGACCATCAGCATCCTCTTCCTCCTCCCCTCCTCATGCTCCACCTACTCATCATCATCAGCAGCATTATCATCATTAGCGTCCTCAGCGGCAGCATCATCATCCTCCTCATCACCAGCATCACCATCATTATCACCATACGTTTCAGCAACACCATCATCATCATCATCATCATCATCATCAGCATCATCCTTATCAGCATCGTAATCATGACTATCATCATCACCTTCACCATCATCACCATACTCATCTCCATCATCACCGTGACCACTAGCATAACCACCAATATCATCATGCTCACCGTCATCAGTTTTGCCATCATCACCATCATCGTCATCGGCATCACCACAATCACCATCACCACCAGAAGCATTATCTCCATCGCCGTCATCATCATGATCATAACCATCATCACCAGCATCGTCGTCATCATCATCCTCATCATCACGACCATCACCATCACAATCGGAAGCATTATTGACATCGTCGTTATCATGACAATCAGCAACAGCATCATCGACAACAACATTGTCACTATCGTCATCATCATAACCCTTACCATATCAATCCTCATCCTCGTCATTCTCCCCACCTCCCCGCTTCCATTATGCTCCCCATGCTCGTCTCCCCAATCCCTCCTCCTTCTCCTCCTCCTCCTCCTGCTGCAGGCAAGTGCTCCTCATCGTCATCTTCTGACTCCTCCTTCTCCTCCTCCTCGTCGCTTCACCACCTCGCTGCGTGTGGGAAGGCCGCCCTGGAGCAACGGATGACGATGGGGTCTACCTGTGCTCTTTATTATCTTCGCCTCCTCTGCTCACAAACATGGCGCGGCCTCGTTGCGAAATGTCAGGCGTTCAACCCCGATGCGCCCTGATAATATGTTGATGGGATATTGGTAAGGTGTTGGCAATATGTCCGTAAGCTGTTGATGATAACGGCACCGACTAATAAGATGTAGAAAGTGTGTCCTGAGACGTATAGCGTAAGATGCTGATGCCGAGAACAAGATGATTTCGCGCTGTACAGACATGGCCGGATTTGGTGTTGCCGGCCCCGCAAACGTCTGCGTCACCGCCCCTCCCCACAGGAGGCGTCGATCGCTCCCTCCTGTGCGCGCGCTAAGCGCCTGAGCTGGGCCGCAGATATATGGATGGCCGAACGAGGTCGGCGACAGACTCCGCGCCAGCGCTGTTTCACTGTGCGCAAGCGCTGTTCTGCAGCAAGCACGAGACATCCGAAACTGTGGAAGATGCTAGCGGCGAAGATGGCAGTGGTCGCGTTCTCAGCCGAATCCCACCAGCCCTTTCGGGCGTAAGATAGTTTAGGGAGCTTCCTCTTCAATCCCTCCCTCTTCCCCTTCGGGGAGGGGTTTACCCCTCCCCATACCCCCTCCCCTGGACCTGGACAGGGGGGTTCGCGGGTAGTTGGAGCGTCCAGAACGGCCTCGGCGAGGAAGCCAAAATCACTGGTCTTACCAGAAGTTTGGCTCATTTTGGCCTTCCGGGGGAGCGAGGCTAATTAGGGAACCCCCCTTCTTTGATCGATCTCCTTCGGGACTGCCCCAAGAGCGCTCCCAAGGCTCCCGAGGGTGCCCCAAGAGGCCCCCGGGATGCCCCCAAGAAGCTCCCAAGAGGCCCCCAAGAGGCCCCTAGAGGCCCCCCAGAGGCACCAAAGACGCTCCAAGAGGCCTCGGCGAGAATGCTAAGATCATTGATTTTACGAAGGTTTTGGCCACATTTTGGCCTCCCGGGTGGAGGGGCGCTGATTAAGATGACTTCAAGAGCGCCTGGGAAAGCCCAAGATGACCTCCAAGATGGCTCAAGATATCCCCAAGTGTCTCAAGATGGCGCCCACGATGTGCCAAAAGGCCCCAAGACCGCTCCAAAACGGCTCCAAGTGGCCAAAGAGCTCCCCCAGGAGGCCCCAAAGAGGCCAAAATCCTTCCAAAACCTTAGAAACATCAATGTGTGTGTGGCTTTCTCGCCTTTTCGCTTCCGATGGCCATCCGATGCCTCAAGATGGCTCCAAGATGGCACAAGAGGGCTCCAAGAGAGGCTCAAGAGAGCCCCAAAGCGGCGCCAAGAGCACCCAAGGGCGCCCCAAGAGCGCACAGGAGGCCCCAGGAGGCCCCAACAGACGCCCAGGAGGCCTCCAAGAGGCTCCCAAGAGACCCCCAAGAGGCCCCAAGAAGCTCTCCGAGGCACCCAAGAAGCTCTAAGAGGCGCCCCGGACCGCCAAGAGGCCCCCAAGACGCTCCAAGAAGCCTCCACTGGGGGACCCTTCCTCTGTGTGCTGCCCACTTCCCTGATCGAGGCGATTCCTCTGGGCATCGTTTATGGATGGGCTGGTGGGGTTAATTACGCAAAGCGTCTAGAATTGATGTTGAGACCCGACGGCAGGGTCCTGTACTCTGGTCCAAGGTTTCGCGGTTGGCCCCCGACGCGAGCGCACCGACGCAGCAACGGGCGACTCTCAGCCCCACGCCGAGAGATTCCTGCAGCCACATGCACGCAGGGTCATTATTTGCATGCAGCCAGGTCGCGCCTTGTTGCCCGAATGCTCAGCCGCTGTTCGCCATGTTGGTGGACTTGTCTTTGAAGGTGGCCATGTCCGCCTTCACTGAAGGGTCCACCAGCACGTGCAGCAGGAACAGGCCCTCGGAGGCGAAGGCCAGCTCCATGGCTCGCTTCAGCTCGTGCGGTGAGCTGAGCGTTGCGCCGTCGCCACCGCAGGCCTTCGCGACGCCGACGAAGTCTGGTGAGGGGCCCAATTCGCAGCCCATCGCACCATCGAAACCGAAATACACGCGACTCAGGCGCTCGTTGTCGAACACGATGACAAGCAACTTGTGCTTTGTCTGCGAGTTCGCGAAGAGCTGCTTCACTGTCCCGAGCTCGTTGATGGTCATCTGGATGCCGCCGTCGCCAGCAACCACTACGCTCCGCCCAGTATCGCCGCGTATCAGGCTGGCCACGATGCCAGCACAGAGGCCATAACCCATGGTGCCCATGCGTTCAGAAGACAGGGTGCGCTGTCCCTGCGTGAGCACAGCGCACAGGCCAGCCCAGAGCGTCACGTCGCCCGTGTCCACCGACAGCACATCGTTTGGCCCCAGGTGCTGCGACATCTCTTGCAGCACAGCCGCGGGGTGACAGTGCTTGAAGTCGCCCTTGTAGACCACCTCGTAGCGGCCGAACTTCGCCCAGTCCTCGTCGTCCTTCAGCTTCTTCCAGTGCCCTTCTCGCATCTCCTCCCATAGCATCTCTGAGGTGGTGCGCGAAGGCCTGCGCTTCGTCCTCGGCACGGTCACCGAACGGCCCGGCGGGTGCATGGGTGCTTCGGTGTCAAGCCCGCTCTTGTCCAGCTCCAGCTTCCACTCCTCCACGGAGCCAAGAGAAGGCTCTGGCTCGATGGCGTCCAAGCGCTCGAGAAGCTTGTCGATCGCCCACGCTGTGTCGCCCACGACGGTGTGGAGCGCATGGAAGCGCGCGTTGGCGAGCACGCAAGCTGCATCGCACTCGAACTGAACCCGCCGACCCCTTGTGGATCTCTGGGCGTGTGCGATTCTTCCCCTCCGCCCTGATCCCCCACCCCCAGGGACCCCAAACCGGCAGGTTGACCACCCCCTCCCCGGGCCGCGGACGACCCCCCGCAGAGCTCACCAGGGGGGGTCTCGCCCTCCCCGGGCTCCCTTTCGAGCCCCAAGACAGCCCCTGAAGTCTGCTACGAGGCCCCCAAAACGCTCCAAGAGGGCCCCCGACCGAGTCGCCGAAAGATCGGTCCAAGAAGCCCAAGATGGTCACCAGACGGACCAAAATGCCAGAATGCCTCCAAGACGCCCCAAGAGGCCTCCAAGATGCTCCCCAATATGGCCCAAACAAAAAACAAGTCGTTCCAATCTCTGAGAACATACATCGTTTTAGCATCTTCGCGTGTTGCGCCACCACTACGTCCAAGACGGCCCAAGAGGCTCCCAAGATGGCTCCAAGAGGACCCAAGAGGCCCCCAAGACGACGACAAAAACCCCACGACGGCCCAAGAGAGCCCCAGGATGGCCCTGAGTGGGGACCCAAGCAAGAGGGAACCCGACAGAAATTTCGAGCCTTCGGCCCCAAGACGCCCCCGAAAGGCCCCCAAGAACCCTCCAGCAGGAGGCCCCCACACAACCCCCCGAAAGCTGCCTCCAAGACGCCTCACACGAGACCCCATCCATTATCCGATTCGCTTCAGACCCTTAAGCCAGGCACGGTGGTGGGATGGGCCGAAGGCCCTTCGATAATCATCTTTCTGCCGCTTTGACAGATGTCGGCCGTTTGTGAACGTGGGGCCCCGCCCGTTTCCCCATGCGCGCGCGGCAAACGCTGGCATGTCAGCCGCGGGCAATACAAAGCCCCCCAGAAACATCCCCCGGGATTGGGACATTGTCCTCCTTTGGTCCCCCGAGGCGCTCCGAAGAGACAACGCCAAACATCCCTGATAGTCTCTGGCCCAACACCATGCCGGGATGGACCGCACACAGCATGGACGACAGCCCAAATCCGTTGGCTCAATCGCATCCCGAACAATCAAGATGGCTCAAGATAGCCCCCAATATGGCTCGAAGACAGCCAAAACGGAGCAAAATGACCTCCAAAACGATCTATGGCTCCTAGACGGCCACGCCAGTTTCAACAAATGGGCTACAAAGGCCAAACATGGTCTCAATATGGTCCAGGAGTTCGCAAAGGCATCCCAAGAGGGCCCCCAAAGGCCCACTTCATGGGCTTTGGTGTTGAAGAAAGTTAAAACGTTCCTTTTTTTGGGCCGTCCGACGGCCCAACATGGCACGAGAAGCTTCCAGATCGGTCAACAGCGCCAAAGATGCCTCCAAGATGGCCCAAGGACGGCACACAAAAAAACACCCAAGACAGCCGACAACCCAAAGGGGCGCCAAGACGGCTCCATATGGCCGCGAAGACGGCCAAGAGACCCCAACTGGCCCTCAGAGAACTTGAAATCCAGTTGGGACACCCAACCAAATACTTCGCCTAAGGCGAAGTATGCGTCCAACGCTGTTGTATCGCATTAGCGATAGCGCCCGAGGTAAGAAGGAACCGCGTGAGCGGCGAGGGTACATCTCAAGAGTAAAAAGTGGAACCTTTTCTGTCTCGATGTAAAGTAGCGTGCCACGGCGCGGCCCGGTCAAATTGGCGACTAGTCGCTTGGGCCAAAATTGCCACGGACAAGCGCTCGATACCTCTCGCATGCGCCCTTCCTTCTTCAAACGAAGCGTGAGTCCGCTACCGGCCTTACTCAGCAAAACAGCTATATTACATAGGAAAGGCAGCAGTCAGCTGCAACCTTGGCAGGTTACCCCGCAACTTCCAAACCCTCGGGCGGCTCTGGTGGTTTCGTCTGGCCAGTCCTGTAGGGAGCTTATCGTTTCGAATCCTGCTTACAGGATTGCGCTCCTTCCAAGAATTGTAAGAGCACGTGTCTATTAATACTTCCCTCGGTGTGACCATCTGAAGTCATGCCGCGAGTGTCGCACCATCGCACACAATGCACGACGCCGCGCTCCATCACTTGCCGTATCCAACTGACGTGACCCAAAAGTGTACATTCAGTCGGCTACTTCAGGTAATTGCTTGACGAGAAGTTGAAGACGGACTCTGCATCAATGGTCAAAGTGACCTTCAGGCTGAGGCCGCCCATCTCAAGTACTTCCTTCAGTTGAATGGGTTTCAGCGGCCCTGCGTAGAGTTCGTGTAGCATAACAATCGTGGGATAGCAGTCTTGCGAATTATGGGCTGCTGCGCGTGTTTCAGCTGAGTTGCTAGAGCGGACCTGCAAGCGGTGAGACTTGCAGTATGCGTCGGCAAAACGGACGATGGGCTTACTAGCATGCGCGCGTCCACGTCTTAGCAGGTTTGCCCCGCGAATACCATGGCCTTTGACTCCGTCGTCGGCAACGCCGTTCAGGCGACGGTAGCCGGAATCGCCATGCAGATAGACCTCGCCCGTTGGTGTTATCACTTTTAAAACGATCTTATTAGGGCAGGCCTGCAGCTACCTGGTAACCGCGTCGAGTCGTCGCACTTGCATGTTGGTCGGTTCTTGGACACATATACAAATGACCATACTTGCGTGATAAGGGCGCGAGACAGAGCGCCTCTGAGGCTGAAACATGTCAGCGGCCATCTTCGATGCTGTAGCCTCAGCATCTGCGCCCGTGAGTTCGCGGTGCTGGATGGGACGTAGCTGTTTTAGACTTTCGTCTCGGCCAAGAGTAACATTGCCGTCGCTGTCCAACACAGTTGGTATATGTGCTTGTGGAGTTCGCATCTCCTAAATGTATCCTCGACGCACTTGACGAATTTGTCAATGGCGCCCTCAGCGCCAGCCATGATTACACCACCAACATGTTTGGCAGAGAAGGTTCGGGCACGTCTCGAACTCCTTCTCGTAAGACGTGGGTCTGAGTCCAAAGCCCTTCGTGGTCTTCCTGAGATTCAGTGAGAAGGCTCTCGGTGCATCTTTGGGGCCGCTGCCTGGTTTGAGGCGCTGCGGACAGCGTCTCGGCGCACCATGGCGCTCAGATCATGGGAGAGATCTGGGCATTGATGCTCGACGAGGTGGCAAGGTGCAGCGCGCCGCGCGCTCCTTTTCACCGGTCGCTTCAGCGAACTCTTGATGCGCCAGCCCCTTTAAAAAAGCCGTGTTGCTGTCAAGGGAAGCAATGATTCACTGCTCCCTGCACGCTGCCGCGCTGGCGAGCAATCGCCGGCTTGGCCGCCGAGCCGTTCCTGAGAGCGGTCATGCATCGAAGGCTTCGAGGCCCATGAACGCCCGAAGTACAAGGCGTAACCTGATGACACGTTCCATCTCGCCCTTTTCGTTATTGGCGCATTTCGAATTGTACGCGCGTCCCGAAGTCATGATGGTTGACGCTTTGGATATGTCTTGTATGATGAAACACGCATTGTCAAAACATGTATTGAGTTATGTGTATAAGGCTTTCGACACCTTGACTGGATTCGTCTGATGACTGCAGCTCGCGCGGCTGCAGCGGCCACGTATGCTCGCATCGTAGTGACACGTTCGAAGTCCAAAATCCTATGGTGTTGTTTGGGTAAGACGATCTGCTACATTTCTGCCATAACAGAGATTTATACATGCTGTCCGTGCTCGGCGGAGCCCAATCCGTAACTGTCATCCTCGTCCGTGGAACACAATGGGACGTGATATGTCTCAGTTGTGTAGATGTCCCGTGGGCTACCCCGCGTAGGCAAGCGCCCTTGCTGTTGATCAGCTACTGTGACCAACGCGCTGTTATCAGAAATCATATGTCCGGGTGCTGTGTAGAGTTCAGCTACTGGAGTGGCCTCCAGCAGTTCCCTTTCGTCATGTAGTGCCGTATGCCACACTTACATGATGCGTGCCTCGAACCCACCTCCGATTCCTCATAGAATGTGGGAAGCGGGCCGTCTTCCTGGTGGTTCGGCTTCTGGGGCCTCCCTGGCATTGCCGCTGTGCGCTGGCATGTCTGCCAGCTCATCGAACTTCGCCATGTCTTGATCGAAGCCTGCTTGAGTGTTGGTGGACTTCGAGCGCCGGGTGATTCTAGAGTGCGCTGATCCAGCTCTATCTTGAATGTTTAGGGCAGTGCCCTCAGCCTCATAATGATGGAAACCTGGGTTCACGCCGCTGTCATAATGCACAAGCGTACAACTGTTAGCATACGTGACAGGAGGCAATTAATGAATTCTCTCAGCTAACCGAACAAAAACAACGCTTTCGATGCGGAAGAAGTTTCTGATTAGATACTTGAGAGCTAAGTGTCCATTTGGAAATAATCGGCTCGCAGTCGCCATTTGGAGCACTCCCTTTCTGACCGGGAGATAACTGAAGGTCCTCGCAAGTCGCCCCGCAGATAGACTGGCTACGAATTCAGACACAGTCCGCAAGGCTATGTTGTCGGAGCCGCTTTCTCGACTGCCCAGAACTTCCATGTACCGCTAGTGTCTTGTATCACCTTACTTGTACATCGCGATTCCCAACTCGCACGATAACTCGAACCCTGTCAAGATCGCCCCGCGCGACCGGGAAAGGCCCATTCCCGCCGCCCCATTCGTCTTTCGTGGTCGTGGGGCGATGGTAATCAACAAGATTACCTTCTTTGTAATAGTGCTGTCCAGTGATTGTCGTCTTGGTCCGTTGTGCACTGTTTGTCTTTGCTACTGCAGTAGCTTGCGCAATAGCCTCAGTGCTTATCCGGCGAAAAGTCTGCTCTCGAGCGCGACTGGATGCATCCGTCTGTTGTTCGTGATCTAGAACAAGCAATTCAGGAAGCATTGCTGGTTGTCGGCCAAGCAGTGCGCTATATGGCGAGATCTCCTTGTAGCAGGTAAACGCGCTGCTGGCAAACAACGCCCCATGCAATAGTCGGGTGAACACAAGAGGTCTGACTAACCTACTTAGATCAGCCTCCACGACGTCAGGTGTCGCAGTATGCCCCTCCTGGCTTCAATTGTAGTAGCGCGT